ACTGATGATATCCTTCTCGTGGCTAAGACGCGCGAAAAATCCTCAGGAAAAACTTGAATTATGGAGGTCTACATTGGAGTCTAAAGGCCTTCATTTGAGTAGAACTAAAACTGAATACATAAATGTAATTTTAGTAGTAGCTCTATTGACAGAAGTGTAACTTTTGGTGATAAAATTATTAAAAGGTGTGAATGGTTTAGATCTCTTTGGTCAATTTTTCAAAGCGATGGTGATATAGATGGAGATGTTAATAGTAGAATTCAAGTTGGTTGGTTGAAATAGAGGAATGCTTCGGCCTTTTGTGTGATAGAAAAGTTCCGATTAGATTGAAAGGAAAATTTTATAATATGGTGGCGAGACCTGAAATGCTCTATGGCGCTGAATGTTGGCCTTTAAAAGAGAAGCATAGTATTAAGTTAAGTGTTGCCGAGATGAGAATGATTAGGTGGATGAATGGGGATGAACTTAGAGACAAAATGAGAAATGAATATATTCGTGATAGGGTTGGTGTAGCTCTAGTTGGTGTAGCTCTAGTGATACAAAATTAGAGAGAGTCGTTTTAGATGGTTTGGTCACATTAAATGTCGACCATCTGATGATCCGATGATCCGAGTAGATGTTTTAGATTTCACTTATGTTAAGAAAGGCAAAGGTAGACCGAGAATGACTTTGGCTTATTGTATAAAAAATGATCTTAATTTATTAGAGCTAAATGAAAATTTGACACTAAATAGGACGCAATGGAGAAAAAGGATTCATGTAGCCGACCCCACATAGTGGGATTAAGGCTTTGTTGTATATATATATATATATATATATAGTAATCCCTAATCTCGTTCTTTTCCTTCGAGTACTTTTCTTTTTGTTCTTTTATTTTTTAGAAGTTTTCGATGTTTATTACGACGTCTTACTTTTTCTATGAAAAATAAACATTTTGAATGGGATTGTGTGTTAATTTTATAACCCTCCACATTGGCTTTGAATAAGATCAAGCTTATATGATACTATGATGATATTGTTATTATGATTGAGAATATCAAGCTAATTATAATTGGCTCATCATATGATCAAGATCAAAGGTTCAATTCTAGGGCTAAGAGATACCATCAACCATGCAAGATGACAAGTGTAGATTTGAAAACTACCAAATTTGTAAATATGATTTGATTTTTGAAAATTTAATTTTTTTTAATTTTTGAATTTTCAATCATTTCATCCATGTCAGAGGCCCTTAAATTGTATTTATCGTGTCCCTAATTAGCATTAGATATTGTTGGTATGTGTAGTGGTTGTCCACCTCCTGTAGGGAGAAAATTGTGTAGTGGTACACGTTTATTTTCTTATTTTATTCTTTTATTTGATATCTCTAATCTGTTATTCTTTTTTTTGAATTTTTTAATTGTAAAACCTGATGTTATAGCTTATATATTTTTGGAATGAATGAGAAAAAGAGCTTGGGATTTTGATAAAAAAGAGAAGTTATTTATTTAGCTCGTGTGCTTGGCAGCCGAGTCCACCCTTTTAGCTCCTTTTTGTGGAAGAACTAGTTATTATTTTAGGTAATTGCTGATCTTTTTTCTTCCATCTGCTATAATCATACTAACATCTTCCCATACATCTCTATCATCGTTCAAGACTTTTCTATAGCCCCCTCAGCGATCAAACAAGCCATACCTTGCTCCATAAACAATAGGCCAAAGAAGGCTTCTAGTAAGCTCACTCTATAACCATTTAAATCCCTTAGATCTTCACCAACTGCTCTAGGTTTAACACCATACTTTTTTCTTACACTTTTAAGCTTTTCCAGCTCATAATATACCATTAGGACCTTCCTTTAATCCAATATTCAAGACTAGTCTAAATTAGGTCCAAGGTTTAAGAATAGGGGAGCTCAAGAATTGATGTGTTTTGCCTTAGTGAGATGAGGTATAAGCCTTGAGGTGGATAGTGACATAAATCTCAAAAAAAAAAAAAAAACTCATAAATCTAAAAATTATTCATAAATATGATATAAATTATTGATTTGTTGATCTGATTTATTATCATTAAAATATAAAATACAAATCTCAATTTTAATTCTTGATATAAAATAAAAATTTGAACCGGGATTCAGAGTAAGCAATCGTTTAAAATTTAAATACACTATATTGATCAACATTTTCTTTTCATCATCTCTAGTTAAATCATCATATGTGATGATTTTGTTACCATCATATTCTATTTTATTGGCATCCATCCTATTCTATCTTATTGACATTTTTAATTTTTTTCGATCATTATATTTTTCTTCTTATTTTCTATATCAATTAACATTTCATCAAATATAATTTAAAATAAATAATAATCTAATAATATAAAAATAATCAGACTCAATTTATCTTTTGACATTTTTTAGGCATTGTATTAGATATTTTAGATAAAAGTGCAATATGATATAATTTATATCAATGATATAATATAATATATATTTTTTTCATTGTATTAGATATTTTAGATAAAAGTGCAATATGATATAATTTATATCAATGATATAATATAATATATATTTTTTTACATAACTTGATGAAGGTGCCGCCTCGAAAACCTCTAAGCAAGCTTTGAAGTATGTCTCAAACATAAAAGGCGCAAGCCACAAGCCTCAAGCCTCAAGCCTCAAGCCTCAAGAATTTTTTTTGTGTGCCTAATTTTGAAGCGCATGTCGAACACCTTTTTACAAATACTAGTTCTAACTAGGCATTTTGATCATATTTTGGCCTAGCAGCTTATACACATCCATAAACTTTTTGGATCTCCACCAAAACTCTAGCATATTTTCTAACATAACTTGATGAAGGTGCCGCCTCGAAAACCTCTAAGCATGCTTTGAAGTATGTCTCAAACATAAAAGGCGCAAGCCACAAGCCTCAAGAAATTTTTTTGTGTGCCTAAGTTTGAAGCGCATGTCGAACACCTTTTTACAAATACTAGTTCTAACTAGGCATTTTGATCATATTTTGGCCTAGCGGCTTATACACATCCATAAACTTTTTGGATCTCCACCAAAACTCTAGCATATTTTCTAACATTCCCCTAACACTTCCTATCGAATCAATGTCCAAAATCTCGCTCCATGCCATAACCCTAATATGAAATTTAAAAGGGGGTAGCTTTAGGGCTATAGTAACCAACAAGGCTTGGTTTTGCTCTTCGTTGACCCTCCATCTTAAGTAACCTTCTCCAAAGACTGTAAGGGTTAATTTTAATTTTGGCACACCCTACTATAATATATGTAGGCCTTAGAACATCTCTTCCCCAGGGCTAGTTCATATTGGCTTCTGTAAAATTTCATGCCTACAAATTTTATATGCAGACATGTTTAAGGTAGCCATGCATTGATATAAGAGTAGTTTCAGTGAAAAATATACTTTTTCTTTCCAAAATAAAAATGGCAGTTCTATTTGAAAGAGGTGATTTGAAATTCACATGTTCTCGAAGCTTGCTAACTATTATAACATTGAACAACATCGTAAATCCATCTAAATTTATGAAAATTTCAAGAAATATGTTGTGGAAGTTAACTAAGGTTTCAGCAACTATTTAGCAATAAGCACAGGTACAGGTACTCACTATTAATCAATTAGACCAATTGGATGATAACAGTCATATCAATCCTGATTGTTAACACATACCAATTCACTCTCCTTGATACCAAAATACTCTTTTAGTCTATATAATGCAACATTGTGCTATTATATGATTTCAGAAGTAAATGAAAAAGTTTCCCGCTGCTGTGTCTTTATGCGCTATCTAAGTAACTCTCCTGTTTCTACCCATTCACCAATTTCTTCATGATATTAGAGTCTCTAGCTAAATAACTCCTCTTTGTTACCTTTTATTCTTCTCAATACATTGAGCTTATCTCCAAGAAACAAACCACATCTTCCTAACTATAAGAAGATTACTTCCTTCGTAATGGGTAGTACCCCCCACCAACACCACCATTATTCCTCTTTCTTTAAATTTCTAATTTGAGAATTTGGAGCAAAAAAAAAAAAAAAAAAAAGAAAAAGAAAAAGAAAAGAAAAATCATCCATTCATTGTTAAAATAAAAGAATCAAGTGTCATTCATTACCAATAATACAATAATATGGGAACAAGAGAGCAAAAAATAATCTATAATCAGGGGTTAGAGTAAGTAATAAAATTTAGTCCATAATCCATTGAATATTAGAGTTCATTCAATGTTCTTAGAATGTCAAACTGAAATAAAAAGACTTACCGTCCCGATTAATCAAATATTAATTATCACTTTGTTGGAATTACTCTATGAAATTTGAGATCCCACGCTCAAGCTTTCTAGAACTCACACATTTAAATTTTCTTCTGCAGGAATATCAAACTGAAGTTGCAAAAGAAGATCATACACTTATATAAATTTAAAAAAAGACAAATGCAATAGATAATAAGAAATGTATAATAATTAATAACATAAATTTTACCAAAAGGTCTTTCGATGATTTCTACGTTGCTCTAATCCAATTACCACTCCACACTAAGAAATCCAATTTTTTAGGTTGAATTGAGCTCCTATAATCATTAAACACACAACCTTCAGCACTAAATATTGACTCAGAGACAACTGTTGTGATTGGTATTGTGAAAATATCTTGTCATTTTTGAAAGTTTTGTATTTCATGGCTGATATTTTCCACCACTCTAAAATATGAAACTATGAATAAGGACATTTAGCACAAAGTTCTTTTAAGTATAACTCGAGGTCAGACTTCTGTAGAAGTAGAAGTCCGGTTGAATTTATGAAACCATATAATCCAGCCAAATCATCAAGTGTGCTTTTACGTTGTGTTGTGATTGATGCCCCAACTTGAGAGCTAGAGGTAGAGACTTCACTAACCTCTTTGCCAATATGTTGTCTATCAGTAACATAATAAGAATATATATCAAAAGATTTTTATTTCACGCTATCTTTTCATTCGACATTAATAGTTGATGACAAGCAATTTCATTTTAATATCCAAAATACAAGCAATTGACAATAACATAGAACAATCTTTTTAATACTTATCAAAATTTGACTTAATGATTGTTGTCATGTTAGATATAAAATGAGCATTAGATAAACATTCTTTTTTCCAATATTTTTTTAATGAGTGTGAAATTTGAAAGAAGTCTATTTGCTGTAGGATAATTTGTACTAAAAAAAATCTCAGTTGTTCGATGAAAAATATGAAGCAATTCTTTTCATCTAATCAAATTGATTCCAATCATCCCCAGATGACAATCATGCATAATTAAGATCTCGCAAAATATATTCAGGAAAAACAACTTTATAATAACATGTAAAGTCTAACATTTTGATGCAGAGTTCCAATCTGTTGACACATTCATGCATAATGACTTTGTTGTAGGCAAACCAATCTATCTCGCAATACTAAAATTTATGCAAGCGACTCGGGGATCGTTTTATAAATATGATTTAGTCTCTAACATTTTAAATTAATTTATCAATTTCTTTCAACTTAACTTTTACCCTCAAGTTTAAAATATAAGCAACGCAAAAAACATGAATGAAATCAACTTTAATGAGAAAACCATATCAACTTTAATGAGAAAACCATACCTTGTAGTAAATAATCATTTCAAATTTCTAGCGGCTGCATCATTTGATGAATTATTATCCAAAGTAATGGTGCTAAATTTATTCTTTAAACCCCATTGCAACAAAAAGAAAAAAAAATAAAGATTTAATTTCAAGTAAACTGTATTAAAAATGAAAATTAAAGGTACTTTTCTTATAGGAAGATATTCAATATAGACGGGTTAGCTATTTTCATAAACCTTTAATAAAGTTTCTGAAAATATGATTGACCTTAGTGATCTTAATATCATTAATAACAATAATTTTTTTTTTAATTTTTACGTCGCATTAGTAAACATGAAGTTGATGAGGCTTTAAAGAATACCAAGGGTGTAAAATCAATAAGACATGATGATATCTCAATTAAAATGTGAAACTATTTTGAAGATTTGATCATTTTAGATATCTCGAGTCTATTATTCAATATGATGGTGAAATAGATGGGGATGCTATTATTAAAATTCAAGTTGGTTGGTTGAAGTTAAGAAATGCATTGGGTCTATTGTGTGATAGAAAAATAAGGAAAATTTTATAAGATGGTGGTGAGACCTGCAATGCTCTATGGCGCAAAATGTTGGCCTTTAAAACAGAAACATAAAACAAAGTTAAGTGTTGCTGAGATGAGAATGCTTAAGTGGATGAGTGGCTTGGCATTTATAGACAAAATGCGAAATGAATCTATCCGTGAAAGGGTTGTTGTAGCTCCAGTGGCCGACAAGATTAGAGAGAGTCATCTTAGATGGTTTGATCATATTAAACATCAACCATCTGATGATCCAGTTACGAGAGTAGATGTTTTAGATTCTACTTATGTTAAGACATGCAGAGGTAGATCCAAAACGACTTGGGCATATTGTATAAAAATGATCTTAATGTATTAGAATTAAATGAAAATGTGATACTCAATAGGATACAATGGAGAAAATGGATTCATGTAGTTAACCCCACTTAGTGGGATAGAGGATTGTTGTTTTTGTTGTTTGTAAACATTAAATTTTAGGGGCAATTAAATATAAAACTCAAAATATTGCTATTTATAAAAGGAGCACCCTATTTTATATATTTTCGAATTCTCTCTCAAATATAAAAATTCAAAATAAAATAACCTATATTTTTTCAATTTGTCCAGTTAGGAGAGTAGATGCTTTAGATTCGACTCTTGTTAAGAAAGACAGAGATTGTCTTAAAATGACTTGGGTATATTGTGTTAAAAATAATCTTAATCTATTAGAATTAATTAGAATTAAATAAAAATGACACTTAATAGGACACAATGGACAAAAACGATTCATGTAGCCAGCCCCACTTTGTAGGATAAAGTCTTGCTATTGTTGATGTTGTTGTTGTTGTATAGTTGATCAGTTAATCATCATATACCATCATGATCACATCCAAATATGCCTGTTAATGTGTGTCAGTGACATACTTCTTTCAAGAAATGATAGCATTGCCATTTCAGCTCTCATTTAAAACTTCAACTCCACCATTATCATGAATTATATAGACCTCATTTCTTTCGTCATTATTCATTGACTGCCAGAATTATAATTTCAAGACAAGACAGATATTTTCATGATATACTCTAAAATTTAAGAATAACCAACTATATGCTTGCTCTTAATCCTCTGCCATCAGAGCAGGGGACCACCTTAGACTAAACAATTCTTTTCGACAATCCCAAGTTATATAGGCCTCATTTCCTTCGTCTTTATTCATGTACTGCCAGCACCGGATTATTTTTCAAGACATTATTATATATTCTAAAAATTAAGAATAACCAACTATATACTTGCTCTTAATCCCACTGCCATCAAAGCAGGTGACCACCGTAGAACCAACAATTCTTTTTGACAATCCCAAGTTATACAAACATCTTCTTGGCATTTTTTAATATTTAACAATTACTCATTTCTGTCAATCAACTCTGTTAACACACATAATTCCTCATTTGTCACTTTCAACTTCTCAAACATCTAATTGGTTACATATTGGGAATCTCCACTATCAACCTACCAACTTAGAAAAGGGATTTAACCTTATCCGTATACTTGAATTCCGATTAGGTTGGAGATCCCACAAGCTTGAAATTCTCATACAGGATTTTGCTCATTTCTTAGTAACCCTTTCATCTCATGGAGTGTCAAAATATATATGCTATAGCTTGATCATCTTCATAAGCAGAACACTGGGCTCAACAGCTGCCACAGTATGTGTCATTTGCTTATCCATCTTCAAGAGGAATTCAATGTCCCAATACTTCATCCTACATATTTTAATTGTATAACATATATGCCATGGTACTGGCTAACAACTCTGTATTTCATTCTACATTAATCACGCTGAACTAGATTATATTTTCATCCGACATCACATTCGCTAAGGAAATATGAGTACTCTGTGTCAATACTTAGGATCAACCGACATATATTTTTGTGAAGACCTTTTCTACAACTAGATTTCACTAGTTCTGCAACATATTGACGATTCCATCTGGGACCATCAACTTGAGAGGGGAGGCAACAATGGTTTCAGCAAACCTCTGGGTATACAATTGTTTTTTTCCTTGGGAGCTTGAACCATGTAATAATGTTTCTCATATAATATCCTTTAGATTATATGATTTAATAAAAAATAAAATGCTACATTTCAGCGGACTTATGACTTCAATAGCCTGTTTTTAGTTTCGTCTCGCTTTTGTTCATTACTGTTGTTTCTTAGTATTTTTCTTTCTGCTTTTCTGTTGAGGTCATTAAAGAGAGCTCTTGATAGAAGATTATATCTTCTCCTATATGGTAGCACATTTGGAGCTCCTAGCAAGAAACCTGTTTGGCATTTTCCAGAAAAAGTTTATGAAAATGAAGATACAATGAGATTGGTAAGATTTAAACAACTCATGTACCATAACTTAATTTTTATTGTTACATTTTTTAAAAGATGAGGGTGATGATAATTTTCTTAATGAAATTTGTTGCAACAGGATTAGCCTTAAAAAGTTTCTACCATTGATATATTTTTTTTTCTGTGTTAGTGTGCCGAATCCGCATTGAAATCCATACTTGGTGGGCTTGATCATACTTATTTTGTTGGGAATGCTCCTTTTGCGCACATGACCATAGGACCAACAGAAAACTCCCCTGATTCTCCCATGCTTCAAGGTACCATATACTCACCATATACTCTTTTTTTTTTTCTTCTGTAATAGTGTATTGTGTTAATTTTTAGAGAACATATTTTGAATAGTTTATGTATTTGGACTATCGTTTTACCTTGCCTACATTTTGGAATTTAATTTCTTTGTGCTATGAAGATACTGCATTCTCATGTTTTCAGCTGCTGTCTTGGACATTTTTGTAAAAAATCTTTAATTCTAGTTGTTTTCACGCCGGTGATGGGCTGTTGAAGTTATGACTAGTTGTTTGCTCAAATGCATGCGTTGGGCGTGGTTGTTGTGAGATCCTTGGTGGAAGAGAGCCGACTTCCTTGTGTAAAATTGTATTCTTTTATGCTGCAAGCTAGCAGTGCTTTAAAAAATTTTGGACTTAAAAAATTTTGGCCATATATTTTGGCACTTTTTTTGAGATGCATTTTGAGCCGCCTAAGTGGCATTGCACATTATATCTGGAGTTATTTTTATCCAAAGACCAACTATTGCCACTTGTATGAGTTTTGGTAGCATTATCCCTTTAATTCTAAAGAATATTAGTCCTAACATTATGAGTGTCATTGAGTGCCGAGTAGACAACTTGTGAGTTAAGCCTCAAGAACACTACCATTATGGTCAATTTTTAGCAAAAATGAGATGCCTAGGCAGTTGAGATTTTCTCCTTTAACCCAAGCACTATCCTAGGCCATCCCAATAAAATTTGTAAGCTAGAAACTAAGGCTTGATCACGTGGAGCTAGAATGATTTTGGAAGTCTTTTGTGATCTTGATTAATTTGTCATCCAGTTTATCGGGCTCCATTATTGATTTCAAAATATTTCTAAGTTGGTTGGAATTCTTATGTCCTTTCTGAGGTTGATAGATAAGTTACAAGTCTAAAGGTCCTTCTCAAAAATGGTTATGGCATTGTGGCCAGCGAATAAATAAAATATAGTCTCACCATGCCTCAGTTGCTAGAATTGTATTAAAAAATTCACGAACCAAGGTGTAGGGATTCCTATACATAAAAGGTAGTGAAAATGAGGAGAATGGTGATGACATTCGGACCAAGTTCAAGCAAAGGGGTGGTGATTTCTTTATTACATAAAAGGTGTTGAAAGTGTGAGAATGGTAGTGACATTTAGAAAAAGTTGAGCTACTAACAATGAGAGACAATCACAAACGCTATTCACCAACACTTAAAAATGATTATATGATGCCATTTTGGAAGTGGTTGACAGACATGTAGTGTTAGTGGGGTGTAAAGTTCAGAAACTAACTACCCTTTGTTAGGGAGCCTCAAAGCCAAGCTTTCATGAATCTAGTGGGCTTGAAGTACATTCAAAATGTCCACGGCAAAATCATTTTCTCAAAGACTCGTGAAGTTGGTTGTAGGAAATGGCACTTTGAGTCCTTTGTCAGACCTTTTGAGCAAGTTGATTATGTGAAAATAGAGAATAAAGGTGGAGAGGAAGGCTTGAAGGTGAGAAGAAAGTGTTTGTCAGTCTTGCCTTTCTTGTGTTACAAGTGTCGATTGTCAACTGAGCCATACTTGTGATGCCTTGACATGACTCTTATGACTTCCACAATTTGCGTAAGGTAATCATTCAATGGATTTGTCTTTGGATTTGAGCGCTTGAAAGATTTTATTGGAAGCCAACTCTTCTTCCCTTGATTAAAAGTGCTGACAACGGTAGTGTTTGAAAATTTGAATTTTATGATTATGTATCTGTTGACCTCATTTTCAGTGAGATCTTAGTCTCCTACGCCTAGAACTCAGGATCTAGCTTTAGGAGTTTCTTGTTGACCATCATAGCAGACTAGTAATGAAGCTCACCTCCCATAGAACTTCGAGCCACATCTTCACTCATTTTTGTGCAGATCTCGCATGAATAGTCCCAAGCAAGCACTCGGTCCCAAGCACTCGACTTTTAGTTGCAAGGGCTAAGGACTAACATGTAGAGGGACAAAAAATGAGTTCCCATAGGATCAGACGGCCTTAAGTAAACCCTTCGTGACTCGAGCACTCGCGGACACTACAATTTGACACATTTTTTGGCCCGACCGTTGGTGAACTCGCCCGAACAACCCCGGATGACGAAACAGACGCGTCCGATACGTAGATTTTAGCTAGTAAGGACACTCACATTGTTATTGTTCCGCACGCGAGCAGTCAACATAAAAATCGATGTACATTTTTTTTAATTTGCGGGTGTGGGTCCGGGGTCGACCCAGGTTCAATCCGGGCCAAGCCGGTCTGAACATGGGCTAATCACCCCAGCTCACTTGATTTTGAATGTTAAAATTTTAAATTTTAAATTCATCTTTTAATTTCACAATAATTGGGCATAATTAGGTATTACAATTTGCCAATTTGTTCTTCGCTTATGTAAGTCGCGCCTAATTAATTCCCCGCATATGCTTCGCGTAACGACTCCCTGGACATTTCGTTTATACAATTCAACCTCTCCTCCCGCTCGTCGGGGCTCCTTGACAGAACTCTTCTCTCCCGCTTGTTGTTGTGATATATTTGAAATTTAAAACGATCGACGACGAAGCGAATAAAATTACACGAGAAAATTCATACCAAAAGAACACACAGATTTACGTAGTTCGGCAAATTGTCTACATCCACGGAGTTGCAGAGGATTTTGCTAATTAAGGAATTTACACCAGTCGATCACCTCGACTTACAAGAGGAACCTCTCACTCTTCGTTGCTCTCTCTGTTCTTCCCTCTCTACACCGAGATACACCGAAGAAGAAACACGTACAAGAGAAATAAACCCAATTTATCATCTGTCACAAGCCACCACGAAGAAGTATAGAGAGAACAATCTTCTTCTTTCTTCTTCCTTCTGCCGCAAGGAACTACTTCTTGCACTTCTCTTCCTCTGCCCCGAGGAAACTTTTCTCTATCCAAAAGAAAATCAAAGAAGAACACCGTGACTTCGTATCCACCAGATCTGAAGGAGAGCCTCTCCTTTTATCACGAAGAGAAAGGAAGCGAAGGGATACTTCGCTTCGCGAAATAGAGGAGGGAGCGGTTTCTGGCGAAGGGACGCGACTCTTTGCGATCGGGAGCGGGATCGGGCGCCGATTCGCGAAATTGAGGGAGGCGGGAAAAAGTTTTGCTAACATCGGGAGCGGGAAGGCGGGTTCGGGCCCGGGAGATCGCGATTGCGAATGGGGGAGCGATCTCCCGTGTCTAACAATCTCCCACTTGGAGACCGATACACCTGCCACAACGTCTCCTTCCTCAAACTGAATCCTATACTGATGGCGTCATTCTTCAAACATGAATCCTCCACCTCTGCAACTCAAAACCCATGTCTTCAAGCTAGAAGACCAACTGAAGTTGTGCAAAACTTCAGTTTCTCCAAAGTAACACCCTTTGTCAACATATCAGCAGGGTTCTGACTTTTACAAATTTTCTCAAGCATCAACTGTCCGTCATCCAACAATGATCGTATGAACGTATGAAGTGATACCTACCTGATCTGAATGTGCTTTGTTCTGGACTGAAATGCTGGATTCCTGGCAAGGAATATAGCGCTCTGACTGTCACTGCAGAGAATGCTCTTTTGATCCTTCTTGCCCAATTCTTTCAAGTAGCTCTGTAGTCATATCATCTCCTTTGCAGCCTCTGACACTTCTATGTACTTAACTGCTGTAGTAGACAACGAAACTATCTTCTGCAGATTAGAGCCCCATGATACTGCAGTGCCACCAATAGTGTAAATATAACCTGTAGTACTTCTTCTAGTATCAATGTCTCCAGTTAGATCAGCATCAACATAGCCCCGTACCTCTGAACTCTTTCATGAGAAACACAAAAAAGTTTCTGCAGAGCCTCTTAGGTATCTCAAGATCCACTTCACTGCTTCCCAATGTTCCTTTCCAGGATTACTCATGTATCTGCTAACGACTCCCACTGCATGAGCAATATCAAGTTTGGTGCAAACCATAGTATACATAAGTGAACCAATAGCTGAAGCATAAGGAACCTTACTCATGTAATCTCGTTCCTCCTCTGACTTGGGTGACTGATTCACTGATTCTTGCTGAGTTAGTTTCAAGTGACTTCCCAAGGGTGTGCCAACTGGTTTGACCTTATCCATATAAAACCTGCTAAGTACCTTTTTTACGTACTCAGCCTAAGAGAGTCTCAACCTGCCTCTGACTCTATCTCTGACAATTCTCATACCAAGGATTTGCTTTGCAGCTCCCAAATCCTTCATTGCAAAGTGCTCTGACATCTGCTCCTTCAGATTATTGATCTCCTCAATACTAGCACCTGCAATAAACATATCATCCACATACAACAGTAGGATGACATAAGAATTTTCAAAATACCTGACATAACAACATTGATCTGCCTGACATCTGTTTTACCCTGCACTGTGTATGAAATTATCAAATATCTTGTACCACTGTCTAGGAGCTTGCTTCAGGCCATACAAACTCTACAAAAATCTGCAAACTGACTCTTCCTTTCCTTGTACCACGAACCCTTCAGGTTGGTGCATGTAGATGTCTTCTGTAGATGTCTTCTTCAAGATT